GGAGGAGGGTGGGGGGAAGGCAGTCTTTGCAGTTACGTTTGTGCCAGTTCTGTGACTAACGCAGCTGAAAACGTAAAAATCCTATAACTGAAGAAAGAGCGACTGTTTAATATTTTCCAATAAAAGCCACAAAGAAATCTGGTGTACTGGCTCTGCTGAGTAACAATTTAGGCAGTAAACAATTCCAGGATTTTAACTGCCTTCATATGGCACTGGTCAGAGCAGCAAAACAGTCCTTGCTTAACTCATTGAGGACAAGATACTCCCCACATCGATACTATGAAAATTAAATGAAAGTAAAATCTCTCTTAACACATTATTAAAAAGCCAGCTATTAATGACCAGGCTCATGGTCTTTTGCAAATAGTACAGACAAACATACCCTCAGCTTGAAAAAAAAAAAAGTATAATATTATTTGTAATATTATTATTATTATAATAACATAATAATAAAATTATACTATAAACCCCTACAACTTGCTGAATAAATATTTCATCTTGAATCTGCCTAAATGGTGCTGGCTTGTGGGTGTATTATGTAACACTGGCTTCTGTCAAAGTTGCTGGGTAAGCTTCAGTGTTACAGGAACAGAGGGAGGGTTTTTGTTCTTGCTGTGCAGCATGAAGGCACTTCTAATGTCCTTCAGCAACTGGTAATATCAGAATTTGCCAGTAGTGAACAAGTTTCTAGCTCTTCAACAAAGCATGTGCCCTCAGGTTTCACGTGTGAATCCAGGCAAGGTGAAAGACAACTTTAAGTGGTATATTAAATGGTTTGGGTATTAATAGCCCCTTCGGGGGGGGGGGTGGGGGGGTGGCACAGGCAGGAAAAGCATCACCACTCTTGAAATAACGTCTGCAACAGCTTCACCACAACATAATAAATTGCTAAACACACACCTGACACTTCATGCAGGTGAAAGCTTTTCCTAAGCATGAAAGAGTACCTTAGCTTAGGGCTCCCTGAGCTCAGGACTGCTGGCCTGGCAGAATATAGCACCAGTTTCTGATTCACCATGAAATTTCACATTCAAATTTCCCAAGTGTTCTAATTTACAACATATGACTAACAAACATCTTTGTAAATACATTGTTCATTATGTAGAGTCCAGTTGTTTTGTAATTTCATACTTTTGGTCTTAATTATGAAAAAGCAATGGTTTATACGCTACACTGCTTTGTTCTAGCATTTCAACCATTTATTAAAAAGAAACAACACAGATTCACAGGAATACATATGAGACTCATGTTGTTCTTGGACACAGCAAAAACAGTTTAAATAAAAACATGGACATCCTCAAGGCCCATCTACTGCAACACCCTACTGTCTCCTAAGGAACATAGCAACCACAGCCTAGAAAATACTTCGCTATTTGTAAAAAATGCCCTAAGGAATAGGCACTGTAGCTGAGTTGCATAACTAAACATTAAAAAAAAAAAAAAAAATTAAGTCTACAAAGTACTCTGACAAAATGCATACTTGGGTTTCATACTATACACACACACACACTTGTTAAATAATGGATTTCTAGCTAAGCCTGTATGCTTAGCGTAAACGAACACTTTAAAGAGTCAGTACATGTTATATAGTAAGCAAATGCTAAGGGTTCCATATGCCTTCTTTGGAATTGCCAGCTGGACATGTTGCCAGCTAGAGATAATGTCCAGTTTAGTTCAAATTATCTGAAAGTGGTCCCTTTTTAACCTTTGTAATTAGTGCTCCAAACTACACTTTAAAAAAAAACCAAAACAACTCACAACCAAACAGCTAGAAATGCAATAGTTACCTTAAAAAATTACAGGACTTCACATTCAGTTAACTGAAAATTCAGAAGAGTTAACAATATCTGGATCTACTCTGGTACTTACTCTGGTACATATAATTAAAATAAAATTGATATATAGACTATTTCCAAAGCAAGTTAACATATCTTGCATAACGCTATATATTTTTGAATGGTGACTTTATTACAGTCAAAGAGATAAAGCCAACATGTCACAGTTTGAATTAGAAAGATAACCAACACAACCAAGTCAGTATTATATCGATCTTGATAGCAATCTAAACCATGTAAGTAAGCAGACAAAAAAACCTACTCATGCTGGGCATGTGTGTATGTGTGCACAATTACTTCCCATAACCAAAGGACAATACAATTCTAGAAACATTTAACTTTCACGTGCAATGAACTGAAAAGAACAATCTTCCCCTCTATCCCCTTCAACTGAAAGTACTACCTTCACCTCAACGCAAACACCATCTTTAATCATCTCTTCTTTCAACTTCAAAAAAAACCCAAACCATCCAAGGTATCCTCTGGTGTACAATGTGCAAGTTTCTAATGCTACCTAACAGCTATACTGAAAGCCAAAAGCTGAAGTTCACAATTCTACTGAAAGGAAACAAACGAAGGTTACAGTTTTTCAGATTATCTAGACTACTAACTTTCGGTGCAGGAAAGGAGGTAATAGTAACAGAGAATGAAAGCAGAGCAAATTCAAGAGGATTAATTTAAACCTCCTCTTCCCAAACTAATTTAGGAATTGTAACAGATCTTTACAAAGGTATGAAGAAAGACCACTGCACCTCTCAAAAAACCCTTTTCAGTTTATCTTAAATAACTGAAGACAGCAAGTCATCAGCACCCAAATGTCACATATATCCAGTAAGAATTCTAGCTAATTAAATTAGTAGGAAGAGTCAAAAATGGCCTAACAAAAAAAGAAAAAAGAATGTCACATCTACTGGGACTCGAGGGGTGATCTGTCTGGTAACAATTAAATATTATGGAGGCTATCAAAGTAAGATCCCCATACTTGGAAATTTTGAGGAGTGCAATGAAGAGTGAACAGATAGAATTAAAGTGAACAATTGTGAGGATGTGCATTTTAGCAAAAAAAGCTTTTATGTTGATGGAATAGCTTTTTGCAAATAAAAACTACTGTAATTTTCAAATTACTTGCCTTTAAGTAAATTAAATTCCAAGAGTCTTTCATGGGTGCACATAAAGAGACTATGCAAGTATGCAACCTGCAGGATGTTGGTTGACAGCATGGATGACAGCAGCCATGTCTACACCAGACAGAAAAAACATGAACTCTGAATCAACTAAAAATAGCAACCTTTTCTATAGATCTACCCTTTTCTCTAGGAACTGATGGACAGACTGTAGCAGCACTGCTGATGACAACAAAACCTCACTGAAGCACATACAGTATCAAAACTACCCAAATATAGATTTATCTTGCTGATCAGCATTTACCAAGTCTTTTTTGGGCTAAGATCAATCCAACTGGTTTAATTTATTATTTTGAACAAGTAAGGATCTAGGAAAGGAAGGAAATTGTTCTCTCAGGTTCCAGTAAAAATGAAAAAAATTAGAACCAAGTCAAGTCTTATGAATTATGTTTTTTTAAAAAAAATCTATATCAGCTCTGCAAGAAAAAGACCTAATTCTATGGATTTCTTCAGAAGATGAAGATTGTTTGTAATAGCTACAGCTGTAAGTACATAGGCATGTCCCAGTATAAGCAGATTTTTATATAATTTTGCTAGCGTATTTACTAAAGCATTGCCCACATATAGACAGAGATGAATGTTCAGCATCACCATGAACATAAGCTACAATACTTCTAGAAGCCTTGTGAGTCACTCATCTGAAATCTTTCGCTTCCTCTCCACTCCTGAGGGAATGAGGTGGAGTCAGGAAACAGAACAGTCTAAAGCAAGAAATTACTACCTTTCTTACCAATTTTGCTCTGTTTATTCCAGAGCATTTGCACAGCTGGGATGCAGAAAAAGGAGAGTAGTTTTAATCTCTGCACTCCACATTTCTGCTTCCAAGGACAAGCAAAATAGCTTCGCTTACACCACCCAGATACCATAGGCAGTTCTTACTTCTCATGCCAGTATATAGCCTCTATTAATCTACAGAACTATTTTATGTAGTCATGTATTTTCTTTAAAATTTTGCAATTAATAAAATCCAGTAACTGAACAGTCATCTCAACAAAATTTGAGACAAAAATATGATAAAGAAGGAAAATAATCTAGTATTCATACTGATTTCTCTCTACTGGAGCAGTGTAAGAAAAATTAATAATGCAAAATATGTTTGTGATTGAGAAGTAAACTTCATTTGTATACTTAATCAAACTGTAACCCTTTAAAAATACCATCTGATCAAAGAACAATGAAGTATCTTCGAAGTTAGAAATCTACTAAGCAATTTTCTGTTTAAGACTGCTTGCACATTTTTTATACATCTGAACAATACACTGGTAGAGAAACTCTCAGCTGAAGCACCTTACAACCACTATAGTACAAGAGAAACCAATAACCTTTTAAAAAAGTTCTCTGATACCCAATATATGGAGCCTAGCAATCAGAAAAAAGACAACTGAGCACAGACATTCCTAAAAAACAGAAAAAAAAATACAAGTCCTATTTCTCTTTAGAGAAAGTGGAAATTGGAGGGAACAGCATCTTCCCTCATAATCTTCTAGCTAGGAAGTCACCCACAACACCTCCCTTTTTATGAAGGCCAGATTTAACTTCACTGGCAGGACTTTTTTGTACTCTTTTAGTGTACAACCCTGTAATCAAAATCAACACTCCATTCTTACATTAACAAAGACCACATAAGAGAAGTCCTCTGGTCTGCCTGACTTTAGATCCTCAAGCTACAAAAAAGTGTATGTGCCCTGGCTGGGGGATCCTATTGATTCATCAGCTGCATGTAATGGCAGCTACCTCCCTGTCTTTTGACCAAAATGGAAGACAGCTTTTACACCCAACAGCTTTCCTAAATAATAACTGTGCAAGTCTGGTGATGAAA